CTCAAAATTGATACATGCTATTGGGTTGAAATTCATAACAATGATTAATGGACATGTTCCGGATACGATATGTCAAGGATACGCATGAGTGACCTCGGCGATACGCTCTAGTGAGCAATATAGGATTTTACATTTTCATCTTCTTCTCGAGAACGACACTACTTAGAGACTTGAAATTTACATCACATGCAGATAATAAGTCCCCCATCATTAAGTGCAAATTTTATGCATGACTGACCACGCTTTCACGCTCCAGTGAGCAAAACGCGTCTTCAGTTTTTTTTACGCGGGAAGCCTGTTAAAGCTGCACGCAGCTCTAGTTTCACATTGAAATGTATTGTTTTCGTCTTGCTTTGATTGTTTCAAATGTTTTCTTCTGTTATTGGCACAGGATATTCATTCTAGGTTTTACTGATCCAGAAGTCGTTAATATTTGAATCTGTTCCAATTCATTCAAAACTTGATAATCTAAAATTTTTTGCAATCAGAAAATTGTACCTGGGCCTCAAGTAAATGCTTTAGGTTTGATATGGTACAAAATTTTTTAGTTATTTTTTAAGCGCGACTTCGACTAAAAGATTTCAATTTTTTAAGGAATATAAGATTGCAGAATTATCCAAAGCTCATCCATAAATATCGGTATATCAGGGACTATGACTTTGAACTCCCAAGCAAAAGCTTTCGATTCTAATAATAAAAATTACTAATTTAGGTTTATAATTCAAAATCTACTCTGTGAGAATTCATTGAAACAATCTAGAATCCTTTAGAAAAACTACTAATTCAATTGAAAATCTTAAATTAATCCCAGTCAATATATATATAAGTCTTGTATTATTGAGTTTTAAATTCACTCTTTTCATGAAGATTCTCCCCCAAAAAGTATCAAGAGTTGCAAGTATCATAAGTTGTAAAACTTATGAACGGCTTCCTTCAATATGCACAATTTCTTATTCCAACCGGGGCTTTTTGTTTTATTGTTATTTTGCATTGACGCTCGCATTTCTGTTTCACATTAAAATGTAGTTCTGTTTTACTTGTTCTCAAATTTTTCAAGCCACGCTCCGTTCCTAGAATTTGTCAAGTCTCGCACACCACCTCAAAACGAACTAACTATTAATAAACTACAAATAACAGATAGTAAGGTGAAAGTATATTTTATTCAAATAACGCGTTGAAAATATAACAATGGAATTTAAATGTCCAAAATAATTGTCCCAAATAGTTCTACGCCCTCCTTGTGGGGCACGCGCCGCTGTTTGAGAACCACTGACCTAAAGTCGATCTAAATTGCTATTGGCAAAGCATATAATCGAACCAATTAGCGTCCAATACACATAATCTTACTCTTAAATTAGAATTACAACTATCGCTCCTTTAAATATCTTTATTTTCGAGTGAAAACTTGTAGTTGAAAAATCTGTCTTGACGTCGTGCTTAACCCTGTAAGAAGCTATTCTGCATTTTATTGCTTCTAATAGTAAGTTCCGCCCACATGAATCACCCATATACACAATATTACTTATTATATGCTTATATGTTGAATTTACCTTTTTGTGTCACAATTTTACTAAATATTTACATATCTCTGAAGACGGACCGTCACCTATCCCTCGAAAACTTCCTATGTGGTTCTTCTGAAAAGCCTTATGCTGGAGTAACGGCTTGTCCAGTGCCTTCCTAAGAGAATAGGTCAGACTTGACAGAAAATCGAAGCCCTGTCAAATCTGCTTGTTCAGAGTCTTCTTTGGAGCATAGTTCAAACCAAGCTAGAGAATCCCTTCCCAAATTTGGGTTTTATTTTGCTCATGTATCTACTTGTCCGAAGCATTTCTTAGAAAACCTGCTTAGCAATAAGGTTAATGGCCTTATTTGGAGCAAAAGCTTATTTTATTACTTCCATATTCTGATTTTTTTATATTTTGTTATTGACTTGTTCACAGCCTTGGTTCGAGCCTAACAAGAGACCCATGCCCAAACCTGTGTTATTTTATGCCATGCGCCATCTGCTATTCGACCCCCTTTTTGAAATGTAAAACAAAATGTATTATGCATAATTTTTCGTAGCTTGAAAAACTTTTCAAACCCTTGAGACTCATGAAGACCCATGTTTTCCGGCCTTCCGTCAAAAGCTCTCTCTTGGCGAAAAAATATACAGAACCCTCCCTGCAAAATTTCTGGATTTCGGTTCTATATGTCCAGTATCTGATTTCCTAAATCCTTGTTTAGAGAGCGGGTCCGAAACGCCTTAATTAACGCAATAAGTTCCCGTTCTATTATGGCCTATTAAGTAAAGAAATTTTACTTTGAAGCGATGTTCCCCAGTTTTCAATGTTAATACTCAAAAATACGCAACACCTCAACTTTACACAAAGTTTCCTAAAAAGTGCAAAAATATAATATTTTTTTATAGAGAAAATTTGATAGAATATAAGAATTTTCGCTATATTGTGTGCTTTGTATTTATTGCATTTGAAAAATGTACTTTGAAATGCTTGTTTGTAAAGGAATCTGTAAATAAATTGAAAGAAGGCTATTTTTATATGTTTTTGATATATTATGACGTCAATTTAATGCTAGTTCCGCAGGAATGCCACCCTTAATGTTCTACACTGATATTATCATGTTTCAAGCCTCAATATACTCCCAATGTAAGAACTTTACACAAAGTTTCCTAAAAAGTGCAAAAAAATATTATTTTTTTATAGAGAAAATTTGATGGAATATGAGAATTTTCGCTATTTTGTGTGCTTTTACATTTTATTACATTTAAAAAATGTACTTTGAAATGCTTGTTTGTAAAGGAATCTGTAAATAAATTGGAAAAAAGCGATTTTTGAGTTTTTTCTATAGTATGACGTCACTGCGATGACACGCAGGAATGCCACCCTTAATGTTTTACACTGATATTATCATGTTCCAAGCCTCTATATACCCCAATGTAAGTAAGGCCCGGGAGCGAAAAAGATTATTCTGTGGGAGAGGAAAGGGTTAAAAAATGAGTTTAGATTTATGATGAAGTACAATTCAGAGCCTTCTAATTCAGTAATTTATTTTTTAATTAGTAAGCTTGAGCTTTATTTCCCCAAGTCGGTCCGCCATCATTAGACCAGTGGAGGAGTAACTCAGAAATATGTGGCCGAGTTAGAATTTCCTATATATTTATCAATATCTAACTAACAGCCAATCATAACGCGTATTTCAAGTCACGTGATCGGCGCAAAACACCACTTGCCATGTTACAGCCATGCGCAGACGAGCATCTTAACAGAAAGTCCAACCCCTAGCCGGAAGTTCCTAATTGCCATGCGCACGAAAATACTCAACTCCCATTGGCTGATTCAAAATTTCTCAACCTGCGCAGTAGTTTACCGGCCATGTACTTGCCATGCGCGAGAATTTTGAAAAAATCCCCGTTGCCAGATAATTTTTGAACGGTCTGATTCAGAATCGGACCGTTCAAAAACGAAATTCTGAAATCTAACAACAGTCAAAAACGGTGAATTTCCGCGCATGGCAAGTGCATGTCTGTTTTGGTACTGCGCAGGTCACATGACTTCAGAATTTTCTGATTGGTCGATTTTCGTCGAATTGAAATATTTCTTTATTGTATTACGGCTTAGACCAGAACAGGAATAACTTAGAAACATGTGGCCAAGTTAGAATTTTTTATATATTTTTATCAATATCTAACTAACAGCCAATCATACGGCGTATTTCAAGTCACGTGATCGGCACAAAACACCACCTGCCATGTGACAGCCATGCGCAGACGCACATCTTAACAGGAAGTCCGACCCCTAGCCGGAAGTTCCTAATTGCCATGCGCACGAAAATACTCAACTCCCATTGGCTGATTCGAAATTTCTCAACCTGCGCAGTATATTACCGGCCATGTACTTGCCATGCGCGAGAATTTTAAAAAATCCCCGTTGCCAGATATTTTTTGAACGGTCTGATTCAGAATCGGACCATTTAAAATCGAAATTCTGAAATCTGACAACAGTCAAAAACGGTGATATTCCGCGCATGGCAAGTGCATGTCTGTTGTGGTACTGCGCAGGTCACGTGACTTCAGAATTTTTTTGATTGGTCGATTTTCGTCGAATTGAAATATTCCTTTAATGTATTAGGGTTTAAGGACCCCGCCCTTGTTACCATAAAGATAATGAGAGAACTGCCAGCGATTAGAGGGATCCTCAGGTAGGTTATATAAGCTACACTTTCCTCCGAGATTGAAACACTTCAATTACTGATTACTAATTGGCCATTTGGGTTACTTCAACTTACTTTTGGAAACTTTAGCTGCTAAAGAACTCTGCTGGGCCCTATGCAAGACAGGTATGCATACAATTTTGATTGAGTTTTCAGCACTGAGTTTGAAGCCTGCTATCTGGGATTGCGGTACTCAATGTGTTAAGCATAAGACGGCACTGTGTTCTTTAGAGCTGAAGATAGCTTCGATCTCCATTCAACCACCTCACTTAGGGTGTTATAAACAGGGCTTATAAGTTTTAGTGTATCTAAAAAATGGAAGCTTTTCATCTATGAATCAACTTCTTCCTATACCAAGCTTCTTTCAGAAAGAAATCACCTTAAAAAACTGTTTTCTTCAATCTTAAAGAATCAAGCCCATTCCTCCATTTTTATATATCAGAGTGAAAACTGTCCTAATTAGGGGGACTTATAAGACAATGCCAATATTTATATGTTTTCAAAATGTTTTATAAGGAGCACCAGGGCTTTGTTAGAGAAACATAGCGGCTTCGCGCACTTTCCATTTACCTATTAAAATACTGAATATTATTTAAATACAAAGCAGCAAATACACCAGAGTCATCACATAAAGTAATTTCAGTTCACTCAGGGACATTGATCGGTAAATGATGTGTTTTTATTTTATAAATTTATAGTGGGGCTCCGTGAATAATAGTCAACCTACTCACAGTCTCCGTAACACCAAAGTTTGAGAAACCAATGAAATAAAGCACACAAAGCAGTTGTATTTTGCATTTGATGAATCTATTGCAATAAATCTTCACATTAAAAATGAATCATAAAGAAATACTGTTACAAAATTTTATTTTAAAAATAGAATATAGCACAATGTCTAAAAATGGATGTTATACGAAAGTAATTCTATAATAACAGATAAAGAGTGGAGTTAAAAGCGGGGCTGTGAATGAGGGCCAATTTACAATTGACTCCCGGTTAGGAAAAATATAGACTCGAGGCTGTGAAAAAAACTTAATTTTTTACTTTCTTCCATAATGGTATAAACCGGGGGTTCATTAAGTCTTAAAGAAGGCAAATATTAGTGGTTCTCAGACGTGGTCCTGTGAGTATTGTATGGGTAATGGATTAAAACGAAATCATTGAGATAATAATCTCCGAAAACTGATTAGTTTCTGAGTAGCTTGATAAAATAGGAAATTGGTTTAGAGGTTCTTCAGTCTTATTTTCTTGCAGCAAATTTTAAAAAATTTCGCCCCAAATTTGGAAATTTCCCCCCAATGCAGGTCAAATCTACCCCAAACATGAGTCTGCCCAGGCTGAAACGGAAATATTCGAGTCTTTCCAAAACATCAGTACTCATCAGTGGTTGAAAACCCCCGGATTCGTTCAGTGAAAGGCACAAAACAGATCATGACGCAAAAAATTAAGTGATATGGGACAATGGGAGCCACCAATAAAAACAAGATAGATAAGGTGTCCATAAAGTCCTACATTTTCTTGAAATTCATAGATATCGGATATTGCGTTGGCCTTCACAAATGTAATAAATGAAAATACTTGAACAATTACTGATTAAATAACAACAACAAACCGGGTTAAGATATATTGATAACTGACTTCATAACCATATTGGAATTATAAAGTGACTTTAAGGACACCATGTATTACATATGGCAACAAAAAATCAATAAAATAGTCTAAGATTTATAGTGGCTTTGCTACATATCAGAGAAATATCAGAAACTCACTCACAGCAAAAACACAGTTCAATATTAAACGATAATTCAGTATTATATACCAGTAATGAATAGATTAGATGAGTGAAATAGTTTAAAATCTTAAGTTTCAGCATAGAATTGACTTTATTTATCACATAAAAACAAAACAAGTTTAAGTAAACTTATTATTTATCCCATACAAAAAGTACAGGTCTAAAATCAAATTTATCTGGGGTTGGCGGCATTCCCAGATGATACATTTGTGTGAGTAAAGTTTAGAGATTATGATTAAAAATGATAAAATGGAATAAAAGTTTAATATTTCAGCATAGAGTTGATTTTTTTTATCCCATAAAAACAACACAGGGCCGCTATTAAACTCATTATTTATCCCATACAAACAGTACAGGGTTAAAATCAAACCTATCAAACATTCCAAGATGAGACACATTCGCGTAAGGCGATATTGAAAACTCCAAAACTGGTTGTTGACCGTGGATTGGGCCAGATTCGGCCATTACGCCAAGAACTTTTTGTAACGAATACGAAGTTGCTTTTACGTCCGTCGCAGCGTGGTCTTGTTGCTTCAATGCTCCGAACGGAAACATGTGCTGGATCGAAATCACAACGGGCTGCCATTGAATTTTTCGCGCTGTAGGGCGTAGTGCAATTACATCTCGATATCGGATCGATTTTGAAATCATTGTATCTCATCAATTCAATCAGGCTGTCAATGTCGACAACTTGAAATCCTTCGACTTGCAGAAGGCTTGCAGTTAACTTCATCCCAGAACTCATCATCTGGATTCTTCTTGATCATTTCTGACATCCACTGGATATTATCATGCTCGAAATCATAGATTTTTACACACGACTTTCTCAACAGAGTCGAGTCGCAGTAACCTTTAAAGTGTTGTTCCGTGTTTGCTCGGTTCTCTCTGATGTTATATATCCTCCAGCATATCCTGCCCCATAGGCTTGCAAATGTGGTTCCGCATCTGAAAAATTGTAAAAATGAATGTTATTAATAAAAGATTTGGTAATGAAAATATCAGTGATTTTCAAATTTTTCCGTGGAGTGGACCATAATGAAACATTTCAGAGGCTAGACTAGAGAAACCCCTGTGTGTGATATTCATAAGGCGTGGGAGTTGTATAAACTAGCAAAATGATCTTTGAAGTGTGACAAGTTAAATTATATAAGTGAACCTAAAATGGAATTTCAATCTATTTGAACAATATAACTATATTAATATAAACTTTTGAATTTGAAACCTAGAGTGCCATGGAACCCCTGGATTGTACTGGCACGAGGGTTCGAGAGTTGTTCAACGTCCAAATATACAAAAGCAAAATGATCCGTGAAGTGTAGCAAGTTAAATTATAAAGATAAATCTGAAATGGAATTTTATTCTATTTGAATAATGTACATATATTAATATAAACCTTGCGATTTGAATCAAAAATTACGGAACCCTGAACTGTGTCTGTACTGACAGAAACCTGGTCTAGTAGTATCTAGTATTTAAATCAAGTCAAGTTTATTTTATCCAACCAGTAAAAAACAATCACATACAATATTCAAAAGAGAGGTAATCATACAATATTACTCTGGATGGGAAGTCGCGGGAACCAAATCTGGTTATCGAGCAGCGACACCCAAGGTTCTGATATCTAGTTAAAAAGATCAAGTAATTTGATTATAGAAATACTGTTATTGGCGATGAGTACCGTATGGTTCTGGCGAATTATATAACCAAGCGCAGACAAAAGGGGGATTCTCCGTTACGGTGCTGAATTACTTGGAGCAAACGTGCTTCAGTCCGGAATAGTACCGGTAGTGAGGGGACAGTGGAAGACAGTGTCAAGACAGTGGAAAAAGATTACAATCGACTTGTAAACACAATTATCAAATGTAGTTATTTAGCAAGCCGAATCGAACTACTATTAAATAACTTGCAGCTTTCAAATCAAAAAGAGTTACAAATTATAACATACCGAATTTGTCTGCTATTCCAGGCTTAAATTATCATAAGTTGAACATGAAGTCCTTCGTCAATGACATCCAATCACATTAATTAAATAAACTATAACTGTAAAAACAATCACAAAGACAATCCAATGGGAGCTCCCGAAGTATGTTCACCAAGATGGCGCACAACCTGAACATAGTATGCGTACCAGGCTAAGGTTTGAGTTGTGCGCCATGTTGGTACACATACTTCGGGAGCGCCATCCGATGCTCATAAAATTATCCTCAAACTACGCCTATGTGGAACAAACCTAATCTACATTATTCAATCGTCCTAAGTCAAAACAGAAATCAAGGTCGCTAAACCAATTTCACCTATTTCCAACGAAACAAGCGCCGTTCTCTAAAAAAAAGTAAAGCGCTGTCTAAAACAAAGTACCGAAACTATACCCGACTAAGCGCGACATGTCTGGGCAATCAATTGCCACGAAGACTCAATTGTTTCGTGAAGAAGTGTGTAGAAGCACACAGTCAATCAAGGAAAATCACGGCGTCAACAATAACAAATAAATTACTCAACGAGTTAAACGGACTATTCTACAGGGTGTTAAAAAAGTAACGCGAAATTAACAGAAGTTAAGATGAAATGCTGTTTGAAACAATTAACCACTAAGTTTTAACAGTATTGAGTTACGGTGAAATACCATTTCAACATTTCACGACTGAAGCTTTTTAACAGTTACTTTTTTAAGGTTGCCATGACGAAATTTTTTACCTTATTTTGCGTAACTTTTTTAACTTGTAACAGTAACAAATGGTTTCTGCATTTCTACTAAGTCCAATTCACGATGATTTTTTCAAATTCCTTGCTTGAACGTGATAAAATTTTAAATATTACATTATAATTCCCCATTATCAATTTCAAATGTATTCCAAGCAGTTAACTTTACTAGATCAGTGGTTACCAACCTTTCAACCCTGGCAGATCGGTAAAATTAAATAAAATGTACTAGCGGACCAGCAAAAAATTGAAATTATTGAAACAGAAAATAATTACATATATTTCCGTAATAAAATGCAGTGCTGGGCAACGATTTTCCATAAAAAAATACACACAGAAAACATCTCACATAAAACCAAATATACCAACTCATGTACAAAAACAATTAACTCCAGTAAGAATTTTGCTGGTGTTTTGTGACCAAAAAATGATTGCAAAAAAGGCATCAACATTTTTTCTGCTCGTAGCTTTGCAGCGGCTCACAATCGATTTCTTTGCTTTCTTTTAAAAAAAAATGTTTTGTACAACTAACTGGTTGAAAATCCGGACAACTGTTTGATAGCTCGATTAATTAGCTGTGGGTATTCGTCATTAGCAAGAGAGCTTCAGAATTGTGACATTAATTCTCTTATAAATCGGGACCAGTGCTCTTCAACCGAGTATACAATATGCCCAAGTGTATACCTGACCATAAAATGGGTATACAACTGATAAAGGGTATACAGCCCAAGTCAGGGATTCTAGACTATAATATAATAAATTATAAAACATTCAAGCGGAGACAACAACGCAAACGCAACGCACATGAAATTTAAAATGCTATTTACGCAAAGAATCGACCGGGGTTTTGCAAGGTTTATGTGTATCGATGAAAACCCGTGAATCTCAAACAGTGGGGCGCGCTTCCCGAGGTGGGTGTAGACCATTTTTTGAGGAGGCGTGAAAGTAATCAAAAATAAAAATATTTGTTAAAATTGATCTTGCCCGCTTTATTTTGGATATTTACATTTTAAAATTTCATATATATTCCATTATTTACGTTATCAACTTATTTTCAACCTGTTTTAGTAAAACTACTATTGCCTACCTGATATTTGTACCTTCTTGTTAGCTAGTTATCTTTGTGGTGAGTCGCGAGAATTGACAACTTATGAAAAAATGGGTGCAGCTTAAAAAGTTTGAGAATCACTGGACTAAACGAAAAATCCGTCAATTCATTATGAATATTTCCGTTACTTCCCGCTTTCCGCCCTCCCTCTTCTCCTTCTAAAAGTTGATCGGGAGTAGGAAGTTTCTCGTAGTTGCATATCGGTTCAGCTAAAATCAAGTCAATACTATTTTTAAGTCGAGTCCTAACGGTTTAAACATCAATTTCAAGTCATCGACCTGTCTACTTGAGCCGAGTTCAAATTGAGTCAATGTCAAAATACAGACAGCAGATGCAAGGTATTTTGTTGCTGTACTATAATATGAACTGCGTACATCGAGTCAAATTGAATTATATGAATAAGTAGTTTTGGGAGAAAGCGCTTCTCAGTCGTTAAAGCAATTAGTAAATATATTGCCGATTAGCGAGGGATAGTTTAGGCCAATACGCTAAAGAAAACGACCATGAGGTGGTGGATTCCACATAACTGAAGTTCTTGGCATACAAAATAAGGTGCTCCCGTAGTATGTGTAACAGGATGGCGCACAACCTGAACATAGAATGTGTACCAGATCAGGGTTATCAGGTTGTGCGCCATCTTGTTACACATACTACGGTAGCGCCCAAAATAAAATTTCTGTATATTGGGTACAACGACAGCAAACGGATGAGACAAACCAATAAATATCACCAAGGCTTTTTTATACAAATATAAAGCCTCAGTGAAAATCAAAAGCTGCTGTATGCTTACAAAATTTATTTAATATTTTCAATAATATCTATAACATCTGTAATATGTGTAGAAGCAAAGCATGGACTGTAAAAGCATTGCTCCGTTGTTGTATTCGTGAATGCGTATACCCCTATAAAGCTATTTGAAGCACCTGTAAACAGCACGTTTTCCTACATTGCTTGGTAATATTGTTATGATAGGACGCGCTTAAAGCAGCTATCGAGACACTGTATATTATGAATGCTCATGCAATTTATTTCCTTCCGATGTAGGCCATACCACGAGCAGCATACATGCTCGCATTCATCAATATGTTTTTAGCTGAGAGGCTTGCGTAGTGGATTACGTCGATGCGATACATGAGTGTTGTGTTTACCAAAAAGGGGTGTAGTGAGGCGTTTTTAGGGATTGATGGACGGAGGGATAAAATTAGGAGTATTTAATTAGTAATTGTAGATAATGAATGAATCTTTTCGATTACGGAATGATCGCAAAATGTTGGTTTCTGACTGGAATGTGTTGGTTGTTCAGCAAATTTAATATAATGTCAAAAATTGAATTAAGTAGCGAACTATGAGAATGGTTTTGATATTTAAATTTAATAAAAACCTGACTCGTCATAAAACAAATAAATTGTGTATATATATTGTTTATTGACATACATGTGTATAGCTTATGGTGCATGCTGCGTTATGGCAGTCACGAACAAAGCTTTAATTTTCCAGGAATAGCGTTCCTGTCTTTAACATAGACATAGACTATCGATTTTGTATTTATGATTTGTTCCTGACACATCTTTATACACCTCGAGCCTACATACAATTAAACAGAGCAAATAAAAAACAGTGCTTTTGGACGAAAGTGTTATGCACGAGCAACAGCGGATGTATAGCTTGTACGTAAATGGATTCGATCATACGTTTTAGCAGTGATTTTCAATCAAAGTTCCGAGGGATTCTATCGCTCTGTCAAACAGCCCAAGGGTTCCATTTTTCATTCAAATCCGAGAGTCTAGATCTGACATGGGCAAACTACGGCATGCGGGCCAAATCCAGCCTGTTGGGTAATTCAATCTGGCTAAATCCAAATTTGGATGTTTTAGTTAATTAAACAATAGCTCAAGGAATTTGTTGAGATTGCGATTAAATTTAGTTTTGGCACGAGGCTTATTGTTTTCCACTTTTGCTTTTGTAACACTGAAAATATCGTTCATAAAATGTAACTTTATACGTCACACTTACATGGCCCGCCAGTCTAGGTGGGCCACATTTTTGGCCCCTGGTCTGAAACACCTTCTAGATAAATATAAGTATATTGTTCAAATATAATCGAATAGGTTTGAAACTGTTATTAAACTTGCTAGAATTTAAGAATCATTTTGTTTTTTCCAGTATTAGGTTTGCTTTGATATATGTTTATAGTTTATTCAATCCTTCAGCTTTATGCGTATTCACATGGGTTGCCTGAAACGTTTGGATGTTTCATAGTGTTTCCGTTCTACCGAACAGATTAAAAATCAATGCATCGTGGGTTAGGATGCTTTGCGGTTCAGGTAAATGGAAAGAGTAAGATTCAAAAGTCAGATTCGTGGAAAATGGAATACTAAGCGAAAAGTTGAAACTTTTCTATTCTCACACACACAACTCTCTATAATGGTTTATAGTGACAAGTTAATTTTACCAAATATTTTAGGAAATTCATATATGTTGATACAAATTTTTTTCATTCTTGTTAGTTAACCCTTGTGGTTTAGAGAGAAAATATACAAGCATGCTTACAACACTTCACTTGCAAAGAAAGCGTATAATGTGAGTTTTTGATGCGGCGTTTTTACACGTTCAATCTGAACTCTTTATATGTAGTCAACGATAAGCAAATCGAATCAAATCGCAAATTTTAATATCGAAATCTTTCAATTTGACCGTCCTATTATTAATTACCAGTCAGTTCATGCATGGATTATAAATATAAAATGCTTTATTAGAAGGTTGTACGACCATTTTTGCAACAGAAAAAATGTTTAAGTAGATTACCCGTTTATTTTCTAAATTTTTGAATCAAATGTTGTAGTGCCAACTTTTATGTTTCATCGCAGTTTCATATTGATTTTAACTAATTATAATAATTATACACGAATTATAGCGAGAGATAATGACGAATATCGGTTGAAAGTATAATATCGGGGAGATCAATTTTATGCTCGAACATAGTTCAATAATTAATGAGGGTTGCCAGTATTGCATACGTTGGAAGGCATTCAAGGTCGCCTAAACTGAGTCAAACGTAGCCGAAGACATATGCTAATGATAGATTGTGTTCTTAGGAGTCCTTATTCCGATTCCGGTAGGATAGACCTTACAATGTTTGTGTTGAATACATGACGGGAGATATTTGTATGAAATTTGCGATTTTTGAGTCTAGAAGATGTGTGTTTAAGACAGTAGAAATGTCTGCAGAAAAAAAATAT